ATTCACTGAGCTGAACAACCATAATTTTCGGTGAATGGTATGACAAAGAAGAGGTCAAACTTTGACATGTATCTGCGTAATACCTAGGCATGCGTAAAGGCTGAATTTAAATCCGTCGGGTCATAAATGAACAAGTAACATCTTCGTGAAATTCCAGTCCTCTAGATTTCCTGGTCCCCGAAGCCGTTCTGTCTCGAAATATTTTTCATATATCCGTGAGTGAGAACTAAGAAGCACTGAACATTCTTTTTACGCATAAAAATTCATTCGTAGCGGTAGAATAAGTTGTCAAAATCTCAGCCTGGTAGATCTCGCAGACCGTCGGATGAAAACGGTTTACCTCGTTCCATCACTCCAAGCTGCTTATAATGAAAGTAATTAGTGGAAAAATTTAACTAGTGTTAGCGATAAGTGGCAAGACGTGTTAGAAAGTGAAATTAGATGCTTTATTTGCAAGCATGCCTTTTGGATATTTGTATTCGACATCGGTATCGATTCCGGCGCACGCTACACTTCCGTACAGGCGATCCATGATATGTGCCAGCTCCACTGTAATCAGATTTCATAGATTTGAAAAGAACGATTCAGCTCTATATGCTGCTCGTATAGCTATTCAACTTTATTGATGAAAAATTTTGAATTTCCAACGCAAAATTCTCTCCGCATCGCGATCTCAGTGAAAAGTGGACCGTTTGCTTACAAGGTTTTCGATTATTCCGTCTTCCGTTAGCAGTGTGGCGTAGAGCGCAGTAAATAACAAAGTGGACTGACAGCAGTCGGCTCAGGCTGGGTGGCTTAGGCATCTGCTTTGCTAGTATAAGAAAACATTGTCATGCAAAGGCGGCAAGAGGTAAAGTTCTGGCAGACCTGCTTTGATGGGTCGTGGCACTCCGCCAACAAATACTGTTCGGCGAGGGCAGAGTGGTATGCTGGCTTCCACAACATAATCCGCATCTGCAAGGCGCCACGGTCGAATTTGCACCTGAAAAAACAAATTGGCTGGTAACTTGAGTTTCTTTACTTGTCTGGTAATATTTAAACGTCTGGGTCATTTGCCCTCAAAAAAGTAAAGATTTAAACAGTACGTTAAAAAAAAA